AACAACAACAACAACAACAACAACAACAACAACAGCAAGAACAACAGCATGAGCAACAAACATTACGCTTAGCAACATCTGCCACGCATGATACTGTTATTGTATCAACATCACAAAGGAAGGATACAATCAGTACAGTGATACCAACAATACCATCATTACCGGTTTCATCGGTAACAACACTTGCAACTAATTTAGCAAACGTTATTGGACCACCATCAAAATTACCAGCAATGTTTTCGACACATTTATTTGCTGCTGCTACTCCTCTACTTCCTACACCATCCGGTTCTGCTCATTCACCAATTTTTCCGCAATCCGGAACTGCTTCAACATCACTTTTGGCACCTGCAAATATTAGTGCTACATCACAAATGACTGCAACTGCAATACAGCAATTTCCAGCATTACAAATATGCACTCTTCAAGCTGCATTGCAACAAGTACAACAGGTAGTACTTTAAGATAATAATTCAATTATGTCCATTTTCAAAATGTAACATTTTCAATACAAATTTACTGACGATAATTACGCAAATGTATAATTACGCAAGCGTAATATTTGATACATTTGACGTAAAATTTGGAATTCTTTTTTTTTTTTTTAGAAGAGGTAATAAATTTATTTTGTTAACAAAAGGAAAAAAAAATTGTTTTAGAATTACTGTACATCATCTGGGCCAGCAACAATTTCTTCTGGACATGGTGCATTTCAACCGTTTCATAGTTCACGTGATCCAACAAGTTCCACGCAAATTTACAGTCCCGATTCATCAACAACTGATGCTATACCAATAGATTACTCAATGCATGGTACCATTCATAGAGGTTGCTTACTTGACAATACAGAAAAGATGTGATTCAGGAATATTCAGGAATACTGCGCAGTGCATCATTAGTTATTCATTATTTTTTTTCTCTTTTTTTTTGTAGAAATACCCTCCGATCCATCACACATTTTACGATATCAATTGTTGGAACGACAACCGGATTTATCAACAGAAACTGAAATGGAACAGCAAATATCGAATGATATTTTAGCGCAATCATCATCCTCTTCAGATAAAGCTCGAGAAAGTGATTCGGATGATAAACCGCGATCATTGCTTGGCTCATTACTTTCCAGTAAACGGACATCACCGTTGGTTGCACAAAGTCGAACCGATACTCATTCCGGTCTCAACAATGCATCACCCAAAGATGTAAACAAAATCCAACAAATGAAATTTTTTTGTGCAGCTAATGCTTCAACAGTTTTTTTTTTTTTTTTATAATAATTTATATGTCAAATTTGAGATTTATTTGAATTGTATTATTATAAATGAGCACAAGCATTTGATTTCTTTCATTGGTTATTTTAAAATCAAATCTTAGAAAATAAGTGAATTAATTGATTTTTCAAAATATAGCATTAATTTGAGCTTTTACAATCAAATTTCAAAAATTACAATTAACTTGTTATTATATTTGAATTGTTCAGAAAACGAATCACTAGCATTTTTTTTATGGCTTTGAATTGGTTGCTATTATTTTCTGTAACTAACATTTGTACAGATTTTTCGTAAAATTAAAATTTAATTTAAAATTGAGAAAAAAGGCAAAATTTTATTTGAATGTAAGAAATGAATGATTTATTTGCAGAATGATTTGAAAAACTGTTTGAGTAGTTTGGCAGTAAATTTGAGTACCGCCTTAACAGTACCAGGAACACATACTGTTCCATTAGATGCATCATCAACATCTAAGCCTGGAGCAGCAACATGTTCCGGTACCTCAACAACAAAAAGTGATAGCAGTGATAGTATGGAATCACCAACCAGTAATAATAGCACAACCGATTCAATGAGATCACAACTTAGTCCAGCACCGAAACATTCCGCAATTGTTAAAGCATTACGATCAAGACCATCAAGCAAGGTAAAATTAAACTTTATATATATATATATATAATATTCAAGTCTTCGATAATACTACTGAAAATATTGCAGCAACAATATATGGATCGTCGACGACGTAACAATGAAGCAGCAAAACGATGTCGCGCAAATCGTCGAGCGCAATTTGAATATCGTAGTAAACGTGCGCAACAATTAGAAGCGGAAAATGATGAACTTCGACGGGAGATGAATCGTTTGAATCAAGAATTGGAACAATTAAAAGCATTACATGCAGCTAAAAATGCTACCGTTCTTCAACGATGATCTTTTACGAATTCCTTTTTTTTCGACAGAGAGAGAGAGAGAGAAATAAAAAAAAAATAAGAAGAAAGAGATTAATCAATATTTCATATCCTTCACTATCAAATATTAATGTTATTGTTTATTACGGAAAAAAAAATTGATTTCATAAAAATTTGTAGCGAAAAAGAAATTTTTCAGTCAAATAGTTTAGTTATTTCTATTTAGTAGTAATGTCAAATTTCTCATTTATCTTTTTTTTTTTCTTCTAATTCTGTTTTGTTTTTATCCAATATATTGTTCGAAGAAAATCGTATATCAAAGTATAACGTTATTTAAGAATTTCGAAAAAAAAAAAAGCAAAAATGATTTATTTTAGAAACAAAAAATTAATTGTTGCTAGGGAAAAATGAAAATTACGTTTTAGTAATTGTTGCGTAGATTGTTTAATTACCTCTCTTTTAGAAAAAAAAAAATTGTTCGCTTTGACATTTGACCTCAATTTTTTTTGCTGTTGTTTCCGGCCGAAAAATCAACGTGTCATTTACAAGGCAGAGCAAATTTCTGTTCTCTGTGTGTATGTTCTTTTCTCCTTTTTGTTTTAAAAAAAATGTTTGATATGCTTTACATAATTATACGTCATTGTATGACCTTTGACCTCAGTTTTTTCCTTTAAAATGCTTTTGACGTATTTTTTTTTGCTTGTTATATCACTCATCACGTGAATTTAAATAAATTGTTTTGCTGATTATGCAAAATTTTAGCTCTGACTTGTTGATCGAACAAATTTCGATTTTAATTGTAAATTATATTGTAAAGTTCTAACACTAAAACATCATTAACGATTAATTAAACTTATTGGTTTCATGAAATTAGGAAGTTAGGAAATTTTTTATATAAAAACTGTTCATTTGAAAATAATTCCAATTTATCATTTACCTCAGTCAATTTAAATAACTCAGTTTAATATATTCAAATATATAATTAAATTATTTTTTGTCTAAATTCCTTTTTTTTTCACCTAATTTTTTAACTATCTTTTGCCGTTTTTTTAAAACATTAAATAAATTAAATAAATTTAATGAATTAGATTGTCAGAATATTCATTTTTGTTCGCAATATTTTAAGAATGCTTTATTTATTAATTTCATGAAATTAACATAATACTATTAAATTAGCATTAAAATGAAACATTGAAACAGTTGACAAGAATATGTAAATGAGAAGCAAAACGATATCATTTATTGGTTTTCGTAGTTTCTTTCGAAAATGTTTGCAATTTTTTGTTCTAAAAATTGAATTAAGCTATAAAATTGAACTAAATCTTTTCTCCTTTTTTTCCAATATAAATTTTTACTATTACTTTTAGAAGTTTGAATTTTGATAAGTGTATCAAATTTTTATCAAAATTAATTAATGATGTGCTCATTGAATGTTATTAAATAATTAAGTCCAGAGGGTCTAAACAGAATGTTCACTTAATTATTTCAATGTACTCAGCTAATTTTTCATTGGCAAATTATAATAGTAATAATGCCGACCGATTTTTGTGCTATGGGACTATCCGGAATATTCTTCAAGGAATCATTTTTCTTGCTGGAAGAAGCAGCCTTTTTGGAGGAGCTCATATCCTTGCCTGAATTGCTGGCGATTCCAGCTACATTTTCCGATTGCTGGCTAAGCTGTTTGGCTATTTTTTCCAATTTTTTTACTGCCTTAAAAAATATTTAAACTACAGCAAAAGTAAATAAAATATATAAACAAATTCATATAACATCAGAAGGAGATCAAAACAATCATAATATATAATTTTTTTTTTTTAACATTTCAGAACTATCACCGTTCCAAAGCCTAATTAAATCAAGAAAAATCTTACCATTACTTTCTTTTTAAAGGCTCAATTTTTATTACATATACCACACTTCAACAAATTTTAACAATCATTTTTTGATAATTATAAAGTTTAAGTGAATGGAAAATTACAGCGGTCATTGTCCATCGAGATGCTTCATTTTGATCCCAACAATGCTTAATTAACGTTGATATACCCTCCGGTGCTTCTGGTATTTCCATTCTTTGTCCGCGTAATACCTAAATTATTTTGATGGATTTTTTTTTCTGAATTAATTAAATCAATGTAAAAATTATAGTATGAAAACCATTTTCTTGACTTCTGAATTTGTCAATCCTTTGTACGGTTCTTCACCATCACTAAATACTTCGCATACTGTTATGCTAAATGAATAAACATCTGTTTTTAAGCTGTAAACAAATGTAGCAATAGTTTCGGGAGCTGTCCACTTGATTGGTACTTTCTTCGATGTTTTCATCTTATAAGTTAATCCTTCACGTGACATTCCAAAATCGCTTATTTTAGCCTGCAAAAAAAAAAAATCCTTCTCATATAGTTTCATATTACCTTTGCATTTTTAAAATCATTTTCCAATTATTATATTAAACACACAAATTAACAATCAATTACGTTGACAAAAAAAAAAATTGAAATAATAGATGAAATTAAAAAAAAAAATGAAATTTTTTAACAGTTTAGGAAGAAATAAAACTGAAAAGAAGAGGAAAAAAAAGGAATAAACAATAACAGACCACTTTATCTTTGGTGTATAAAATATTCCGGGCGGCAATGTCACGATGAATGCATTTCTTTGAATGCAAATACTGTAAACCGTATGCCGCACCGAGGCACATTTTCTCCACTTTTTCATCATCTGAAATATTTCCTTTGCGTTGTTTGAGATCTTCCGATAGGCATCCTCCTTTAATCTGTAATTGTAATAAAAAATTTTTAACAAATAATTATCATAGATGAAGTAAACTTTTAAGAAAATTT